GGGGCCAGCAGGAGGGAGGAGTCTGCCGGCCAGGGAAAGGAACCAAGAGATGTTTAGTCCGCCTCACAGTGACTGGTCCAGCAGTTGTTCTGGTTGTTCTGCTGTTAGGGTCAATTTGCATATTACCCTTTTATTATATAAGATAGAGGCCTGGTGCACTAGCGGGAGCCAGCTGGCCTGCCCTGAAGGGGGCCCCAGATCAGGGTGGGGGTCCCTGCTGGGGGGCAGGGAGAGCCTGGGTGAGGGGCCACGCCCCCAATTGGGGTGGGGGCTCTACTGGAGGGAAGGGCCAGCCTGGGCGAGGGACCACCCGGGTTTTGCAGGCCGGCCACACCCTGATCGGGGTGGGGGTCCCTGTGGGGTGTCAGGGCCGGCCTGGGTGAGGGGCCGGTAGTTCTGATCTCTGGTAGTTCTGGTCATTATGCTGTTTCTGTTGCTGGGCTTTTATTATATAGGATGCTGCTTGTAACTGTAATGCATCAACAAATCGTTCGTATATAACACATGCTACTACAAAAGCATGTGATAGTTATCAATTCATTAAAACAGACAAAACAAGCCTAGGTGCCTACTATGTGCTAAAAGTGTTTAACTTGCCAAGATTGGGGGGAGCTCCTTTAGGAAGTGACAGGTAAGCTGAAACCTTAGAAGGGAGTCAGCTTATCTAAGGGTACTTGAAAAGACTCCCAGACCAAGAGAACGGCATGGTCCAGAGAAGACTAGTGTGGCAAGAAGCCATGGGGGATATAAGATGAGACTGAAACAGAACCAGGCACTTCCAGACCTTGTGGGTCATGTTGAAGATTTATCCTATGTCCTCAGAGCAGAAAGAAGCCATTGAAATGCTCCAGCCAAAAGCCATCTTTACATAGCCTGTGAACTAGGTCTCACTTAGGCAGCTGAGCTCTTACTCAGACGTGTTGTTTTCTAAATAGAAATTGTTAAGCTTTTAAAGTTTTGTTGTATTTAGAGAGGTGTTTCTCTAACTGTAGTGTGTTTAAAAATTACCTGGAGGACTTGTTAAAACAGATTTTTGGGTCCCATTCCCAGATTTACTGTAAGTCTGGATGGTGTTCAGGAATTTGAATATCTTTTTTTTTCCTAATTTAAATTATTTATTCTTTAAAGTATTACATATGTTTCCTTTTTCCCCCATTGGCCTCTCCCTGGCCATTCCCAGCCCCCCTCCCCCAGGACATACCCTCACCCCCCTACTGTCTGTGTCTATGGGTTATGCTTATATGCATGCGTACAAGTCTTTTGGTTGATCTCTTACCCCCGCTCCCCTGCCTACCCTCTGAGGTTGAATGGTCTGTTTGATGCTTTCTATGTCTCTTGATCTATTTGTGTTCGTCAGTTTATGTTCATTATATTCCACAAATGAATGAGATCATGTGATATATATATCTTTCTCCGGCTGGCTTATTTCACTTAGCGTAATGCTCTCTAGGTCCATCCATGCTGTTGCAATTGGTAAGGTTCTTTCTTTTTTACCGCAGCGTAGTATTCCATTGTGTAGATGTACCACAGTTTTTCAATCCACTCATTTGCTGGTGGGCACTTAGGCTGTTTACAAATCTTAGCTATAGTAAATTATGCTGATATGAACATAGGGGTGCATATATCCTTCCTGATGGGTTTTTCTGATTTCTTGGAATATATTCCTAGAAGTATTACTGGGTCAAATGGAAGTTCTATTTTTACTTATTTGATGAAACCCCATACTGTTTTCCTTAGTGGCTGCACCAGTCATCATTCCCATCAGCAGTGCATGAGGATTCATACAATCATAGTAGGGTTCTTTAATACTTCATTGACACCACTGTATAAATCCTCTAAACAGAAAATCAGCAAAGAAACAGCAATCCTAAACGACTCATTAGATCATATAGAATTAAGTGACATCTTAAGAACATTTCACCCCAAAGCTTCAGAATATAGATTTCTTCTCAAGTGCACATGAGACATGTTCAAAGATAGAACACATATTGGGACACAGGCAGAAGATAGAAATCATATCAGGCATCTTCTCAGATCACAATGGCATAAAATTAGAAATCAACTACAATTAAAACAGTGAAAAAAATCAGACACTTGGAGGCTAAATAGCATGCTATTAAATAATGACTGGATTACCAAAGAGATCAAAGAAGATATAAAAAGCATCCTGGAAACAAATGACAATGAAAACACAAAAATCCAAAATCTATGGGACACAGTGAAAACAGTCTTGAGAGGGAAGTTCATAGTTCTACAGGCCTACCTCAAAAAAACAAGAAAAACTGGTAATAGATTATCTAATCCTACAACTCAAAGAATTAGAAAGAGAGCAACGAGAAAAACTCAGAGCAAGTAGAAGGAAGGAAAAATAAATATCAGAGCATAAATAAATGACAAAGAGGAAAAAACACACAAAAAAATACAAAAGATCAATAAAATCAAGAGCTAGTTCTTTGAACGGATAAACAAGAGTGATGAACCTCTAGCCAGGCTTACCAAGAAACAGAGAGGACCCAAATAAATAACATAA